CCTCTAGATTCTTGTTCTCTTTGCGATTTGACTTCATCTTAAAGGATGGAGACAGAAAGTAGGGCGCTCTAGTAGAATTAATCTGTATGTATATATGTGGCATGGGTGTTCATTTACACAGACAGGGTCCTGCCTCCACAAACAACTACAACTCCCAGTGCTGAGGAGCCACCAATGAATCTTCCCTCCAAGGAACATTGCAGGTTACTGTGAGTGCCATGAGCATGTCAAAGAGCCCTGCCAATGTCCTTCTCAAATGCCATTCTGCCCACCACCCAAGTGAAGGCTTTCATATGGGGGCCATTTCATCCTAGATTGTCTGTTTTTCCTCCACCGCAGACACTTCCCAGGGTTCCTTTCTCTCTCCATTTGTGTGGAATTTGCATGACCCTGCCCACTACCTCTCCCTTAACCCTTTCCTATGGCACACAGCAATAGAGAGTGGAATTTATTAGCTACTTAACAACTAAACATACTGGAGGGGTTTGGGGAACTGACTCCACATGGTGGAAGTTGTAGTTCATCCTGCATCAAGACACAGCAGTGCGACCCCCACCGACAACGGACCGGGACCACATTTGGCTCACAGAACCCCCATGACGAACTGATCCCACTGGAGGGGTTTGAGGGGAACTGACCCATCGGGTGGGAGCTGTAGTTTAGCCTCCAGCCAGAGAGCACACTGAGCCCCACCGATGATGCATCTAGAGAGCAAACTTGCCCAATATGACAAACTTGAACCACTAATTGAGTTTCAGGGCATTACCCTGGCATGATGTGAGTTGTAGTTCACCCACAATTTTGTAAAATAAAAAACAGACTTTTGCAACTAATTCAGGCAACGCTGGGTCCCCAAGCTAGTATCGGATAAAAGAGATAAGAGGTCATGCAAAATAAGTTTAACACAATCCCGGGAGTGTCAGCTCCAACGGTGTTCATCAAGGCTTGCACTTTACTGCTGAGAAACTTCTTTACGTGGTGATTATTTCGATAGGGGACAAGTTGGGGAAATGTAGATGTCTTTCATCCTGCTGGGGCTTCTTCATTCTGGTGCGCTTCCTTGAGGCATTGAGAAGAAATGTGCACAGGGTACAGGGCATTACCTTTGCACAAAGATGTATGCCGATGTACTGGCAGCCACAGCGTGTCTCTAACTCGTTGCCAAGAGCTGGCGCACACTCCCTTCCTGTTTGTTTGTAACATTGCCAAAGTTTCTTTGGGGATATTTTAATCAGCAGCTGCTGATTCTTAGCAGATCTATCTGAAAGTCTCTCGATCACAAACATGGGGGCACAGCAGAGGAAATGTGACATAAACCATATCTTGTTAACCATAACGAATGCAGCAACAAGGTCCAAGCAAAGGACGGAATGGAGGGGAGCCCTTTCTCGTGCATGCTCAGTGGATAGTATGTTGTCTGTTGTGTTGTTGTCGGTTTACAAGCTGGAAACTGGAAACCTACAAGAGCAAAGTTCTGTGTTCCCTCTCCCTTTGACATGGCAGCCAGATATATCTTCCCTTCACTTCAGTATTATAAAACTGTGATAATGCCAATTTATTAAGTATTGTAAGTATATCCCATTCCTCTACAATCATAATACAAATTGCTTCAAATAATATATTGGTCAGCTCCCCCCCCCCCCCCCCCCAAAAAAAAGCTGACCAAACCTAATCAATAGGTGCTCATAGATCAAGGGGTATTTTCCAAACACAGTGTAACATAAGGAAAAGGTAGGTGCCATAACAATTACAAGACTTCAAAACAAAATGGCCCTATAAACTGCAAGGGAAAGTAAGTTTAACATTATTACCCAAGTTCACTTGACAATAAAAAATCCCTAATAATGCCAAAGTAAGAATATAATAATAATAGTAATAATAATAATAATAATAGTAAATGGCACAAACCAGTAAAGGTGGTCCCAGTGGTGTTCGGCACACTGGGTGCAGTGCCTAAAGACCTTGGCCTGCACTTAAACACAATCGGCGCTGAAAAGATTACCATCTGCCAGCTGCAAAAGGCCACCCTACTGAGTTCTGCACGCATTATTCGCCAATATATCACACAGTCCTAGACACTTGGGAAGTGTCCGACGTGTCATCTAATACAACAGCCAGCAGAGTGAGCTTGTTTGCTGTGGACTCATCTTGTTGGGTTTCAAATAATAATAATAATAATAATAATAATAATAATAATAATAATAATATAAGGAGCCCCAGTGGCGCAATCGGTTAAACTGCTGAGCTGCTGAACTTGCTGATCAAAAGGTCACCACTTCGAATCCAGGGAGCGGGGACAATGCCAGCTCTTCAGCTGAGAAACGGAGATGAGCACCAAGCCCCAGAGTTGGACACAACTAGGTTTAATGTCAGGGGAAAAATTTTACCTTCTACTATTACTGCTGCTACTACTAATAATAATAATAGTAATAATCCTTATTTCTATCATGCCCCATCTCCCCGAAAGGACTCAGGGCAGCCCACAGCATGAGTAAAACAAAATAATATACAAAGTGGTTTTTTTTCCATGTCAGGGATGACTTGAGAAACTGCAAGTCGCTTCTGGTGTGAGAGAATTGGCCACCTGCAAGGATGTTGCCCAGAGGATTCCCGGATGTTTGATGTTTTACCATCCTTGTGGGAGGCTACTCTCATGTCCCCACATGTGGGACTGGAGCTGACAGAGGGAGCTCATCTGCACTCTCCCCGGATTCGAACCTCCAACTTGTCGGTCTTCAGTCCTGCTGGCACAAGAGTTTAACCCATTGCACCACTGGGGGCAAATAAATGACAAATTAATAAGGCAAACAAATAAAACACAATAGCAATTAGCAATAAAGAGTAAAAGCATTAATTAAACCATGAGTAAAACTTTTCATTAGTTCTTCCCATGACCAAAACCTAAGCAAGGGGATTTCTCACCTTAGGAAGTATATCTGTATCATAAAGGATGGAGTTCAGTTTTTAACACAGCTACTTTCCACCTTTTAATTCATTTATTAGTGCTTTGATGAGTCAAAAGCAAGGTATTTTTGGAGGTGTCAAATGTTACTAGCCATCTTAGTTCCAAAAGAATGAACATCACCACTGTAGTGTAAAGCTGGTTGCCCGTTTCTCTAATACAGGCTGTTGCTTCCCTGTGTTGGGATCTATTCCCAAGGCACTTCATGGAGCCACGGAAATGGAAGCATCCAACCTGTCTTTATTTACTTAAACCTATTAAAGATATACTACTCATCTGGGTTCCTGTACGGAGACAGATTATCCTTGAGGATGATCAAAGGATCTAAACTTTTTTCTATATTCCCCTTTGAAATAGATTCCTGAATGTATTAGATATTTCCCCTTAATTCCTGGGAAGTGTCAACTGTAAAAGCAATAAGAATTATGCGCTGATGTAGAGTGAAAGCAAGGGAAGATTTTTCAGTAATGGGGATAATTTTTGGGCTTGTTATTCTCAGTGTATAAGGCCTCATCTACACTGACCATTTGATGCAGCTTCAATACAACTCGAAATTATTTATTTATTATTTATTTACAGTATCCGCCCTTCTCACCCCACAGGGGACTCAGGGCAGATTACAATGTACGTATACATGGCAAACATTCAATGCCATAGACACACAACATATATACACAGACACACAAACAATTTAACATTCCAGCTTTTCTTGAGGGTATTCTGGCCACCAGGAGAGCTGTTGCTTCACCATCCATTTGTGACACTGATGAATTACTTCCTCATTCTTTGCATGCTTGCTGGAGATTTTTATGACCTCGTAAATTAGTTAAATTTGCCTCCCCACATAAGCGGTACCTAAATTTCCTACTTGATAGACTCCACTGTCTTTCAGGCGGCAGAGGTCAACAGCAGCTTCAGTACAACTCGAAATGGTGGTAGTTACAGAATGCGTGCCACCACTGCATGCTGCAATGCAGATTAAAGGGGTTACAGTGCATTAAAGAAAGGCACAGGAAAGTATGGGATAAGTCCCTGAAAGTGTTGTGGCAGATCCCAGCATTTCCCAAATCACAGGGTCAAATTTCGAAGCACATTGTAGACACTAGCCTTCACTGAAGCGCTTTGGAGAATTTGAAACGCAGGAGGAGAAGGCTGCCAAAAAAATGTCCCATGGGCATGGCTGGCTAGTAGGGGGCTTATTTATTTATTTATTTACAACATTTCCACCCTGCCCTTCTCAACCCCCGAGGAGGGACTCAGAGTGGCTAACACTGGCAGCAATTCGATGCCGCAATATCACAATATAACAACAATATAAAACCATAAATACACAATAGATTAAAAACAATAACATATAGCCATTTCCATTATCATAACAATCATATGGTACCTTCCAGAACAGTTGGGCGACATCTCCCATTATCCCCAGTTACATGACCATTGGTCACTAGCCATGTGACTTGGGGACTATGGGGAGCTCAATCCAACGGGTAGATAAAAGTGCTTCACGGGACTTATAGCAAAGAATTTGTCAGATCAGGGCACTGATTCCTTTATTCAGGGAAGGCACACTGGAACAGCCACGTTTTCAAGCTCCTCCTAAAGACTGCCAATGTCAACCTAATCTCCCACACAGCAAAACCAGTTTCTGCCAAACCAGTTCCAAACCAGCTCTAGCAATCAGTGTAGATGTGGCCTAAGATAGAGCAGACTGGCTCATTAATTATCTGACTAAATCAGCCTCAGAACCAACAAGCTGGTTAACATTTTAGGTCCTCCATAATGGTGCACAGCCATAAAACATTCCCCGACATGTTCTGGCTATGGGACAGGGCTATTTCCAGATAATAGCATATCTCTCTTCCTCTCTAACACACTTTTTTGCCAGTTTCTAACTGTTTTCTGCAAACTGTTGTTGCTGTTCTCTTCTTCTGTTTGTTTCTCTTCCCCCTCATTTTTTTTACTTTAAACAAAACCAAAAACACTACATGACCCTTATTAAAATGGTATCCTATGTTAAATTGGATCGTCACAACAGCCGGAGAACCTACTTTTGGCCAGCAAATGCAAAGGGGCAGCGGTCAAGTTGGCAGATTTTGGCTTGGCGATTGAAGTGCAAGGAGATCAACAAGCCTGGTTCGGTGAGTATTGGACAAAATGATCCCTCCTGCATTGCCTTTTCTCTGTCTTGATTTGCTAAGCCAGTCATTACACAAACGTACATGCTGCCAATTTTGCTTCCCCGCAGGTTTTGCAGGCACCCCTGGTTACCTTTCTCCGGAAGTTCTACGCAAAGAGGCTTATGGCAAACCTGTGGATATCTGGGCATGTGGTACGACTAAGGAACCTGATATCAGGCAGCCTTCCTCTCATTTGATAGTAAAACATGAAGTTGCAATAGCGTCTTCTGATTTTTAAAGACTAGGACCTTCCACATACAGATGAACCAACTGCATGGTTCTCAGTGTGTTGTTGGATTTCAGTTATGTATAGTAATCATAGCTTAGTGGCAAATCACAAAAAGAAGTGAAGGCCAACACCTTGATGGCCAGAGGCTACCTACCTGTGTGCTACATCATCTAAAAGTAATCCAGTACGTTGCACAAAGTTGTTGTTTAGGATATGTAGCTCTGAGTGTGAATTTTAAAGCCTATCATTTCTGTATGTGAAATAATAATATAATGATAAACTTTATTTACACTCGAGATGGCTAACAAGAATAATACAGCAAAGTTAAACACAAAATAACAGAAAAATTACATCACAACAAATTATTTATTTATTCTTTATTTACAGTATTTATATTCCGCCTTCTCACCCTGCAGGGGACTCAGGGCGGATTACAATGTACATATACATGGGAAACATTCAGTGCCATAGACACACAACACCGACCATTTGTGACACTGATGAAGTACTTCCTCATTCTTTGCATGCTTGCTGGAGATTTTTATGGCCTCATAAACTTCTCACCCCCTAGGGGTGAGAAAAGCGGTATATAAATGCTGTAAATAATAAATAAATAAATAAGTTAAATTTGCCTCCCCGCATAAGCAGTACCTAAATATCCTACTTGACAGATGCAACTGTCTTAGCAAGCTACACAAAATTGGTCAGAAGCTCACTCTGACTCGGGCTGGCTTCGAACTCATGACCTTCCGGTCAGTAGTGATCTTAATGCAGCTGACTCCCAGCCACAGTGCATGAAATAACAAAATAAAATAAACAGTGCAAAACAACATGATAAAACTCACACTCATATATGTATTCATATATGTAGTAATGCTGCTGTATAGTTCTATTCCGATGTCTTTATCGAACTTCCAAAGTGGAAACATATTATAAAACTACACTGGTTTATATGAATCTATGCTTCCATATACTCCAGTTCAGTCTGCATTATAATGGCAGTGTATATATGACCTTTTATTTCCATCGGCCAAGGCATAGAGAATTGGACTGACTATACTACATATGCACTACGTTCTAAATGTGTTGCTGTCCTGTTGGTTTCCCTAGGTGTTATACTTTATATCTTACTGGTTGGGTATCCTCCTTTCTGGGATGAGGATCAGCACAAACTGTACCAACAAATTAAGGCTGGAGCCTATGATGTGAGTAATAGCTTATTGCAATTGCTTTCTTCTTGGTGTCTATTATGTTGAGGCAGAGGAGGAGCACCGGAGGCCCTTCTTCCTGTCCAAGCTGGTGAGAAGCGCTGGACTGGGGACTCGTCTTAAACAGCGAATATATCCCCAATACTATATTTTGACTGCTGAAATTGGGGGGGTCGTCTTATAGCCCCTGTCGTTTTATACCCCGGAATATACGGTACATCAAAGTGTGGGAAAAATATTCAGATAAGAAAGTGGGAGATAAAGAAGAAGAAATAAAAAAAACCCCAAAAACCAGGAAGTTTTAGATTGACTTACTTCTATTCATTGGTGGTTGACAATAGTTTAGTTATTAATATGGCAAGAAATAGTTTTACTTCCCTGTGTTCCTTGTGGCATCTTGTGAGTGTCATATTTCAAATTATCAAATGGATCTTCAGTTGCTTAAAGTACCATATTTTCCGGCATATAAGACCACTGGGCGTATAAGACGACCCCCAACTTTTCCAGTTAAAATATAGAGTTTTGGATATACTCACCGTATAAGACTACCCCTTTTCCAATGCACACCAAATAAAAAATTTAAAAGCATCAGATTTGATTTCACTATGGTAATCTTCTTATTACTTTACCTCCTCTGCCTCTCAGATCTCGCACATGCGCACCTACACCACTTCACTGCAGTCTTCAGGAGTGTGATCTGAGAGGCAGAGGAGGAGGTACAGTAATAGGATACAAGGGCAGGCCAGACAGGTAAAAAAGGGGTGTTTTTCTGGGCCCAGAGCCACTCTATCTCTTTTTTCCATACTCGGGGCGCCCCAGACGCCTGCAGCTTGCTCCGCCCTTCACTTACACCTTCCTGGTGAGGCGCCCCTTCACCTCACCATCGGGACCACATTAAGTCCACAAATCCTGATGAATGGATTTCCTTCTACCGTACTTGTACAGCGTCGCCCTTAATGCTTCCATACAGTCGCTGCATACGGCCGGAACGCAGCCACTGCCATTTTTTAGCTCCCCCCATCCTATATGGCAACCACAGATTCTCCAATCCGGATTGCAAGTTTCAACACCTGCTCTATAAAACGACTCCTGGTGTGTAAGACAACTCCCGGCATATAAGATGACCCCTGACCTTTGAGAAGATTTTCGTGGGTTAAAAAGTAGTCTTATATGCCAGAAAATATGGTAGTTCTTTGCCAGGCTCCAGTTCATTTGCTTCTTTGGAAGGCCTTGGTTTGGAGTAATCCAATAAGTTAGTTGGTCCATATTCATTACCTCTATGATTTCCTTTTGCCAACGCTCTCTTTTTGGGATTTCTTTTCTTCTCCAAACTTTTGCAAACACTATTCTGGCTGCGATCACTAAATAGTTGAATAGAATTAAATAAATTTAAATAATTTTTGACCAAAGATGGGCAACAGCAACCGCATGGTCTGTAGCTTTAAACAATTCTTCCTCTGTGCATGAGGCAGGGCATTGTGGACAAGCAAACATATGCAGAGTTGTTTGTTCTGCTCCACAATCGCACAAGGTGTGGGATTCTTTATCGAACTTCCAAAGTGGAAACATATTATAAAACTACACTGATTTATATGAAGCTATGCTTCCATATACTCCAGTACAGTCTGCATTATAATGACAGTGTATATATGACCTTTTATTTCCATCGGCCAAGGCATAGAGAATTGGACTGACTATACTACATATGCACTATGTGTTGCTGTCCTATTGGTTTCCCTAGGTGTTATTTTGCCAGGTTGTCTTTTGATCTGCCCACTCCACTTCTGAGTCTGTTCAGGGACTTCCAAGTTGCCCATTCTTGGTTTGACCGTGGAGAAAGACCCTCGTGGGGAGCCATCCAGTTGAAATTGCCTGGTTTAGCTGCCCAGAGGGCAGCTGTTGCTGGAGGAACATTAAGAGTGGTGGTTCTCATGAAGCTTTTCCTTGATTTGAGTCTACTAGGAGGAGGCTGGTAGCCATGTGGAGGATGGTTTTCACAGTGTTCAACCTTATTTTTCTCACAATTAGCAACAACTTTCCATCCCACATGGGGGGGGGGGGCAATGCCAGCTAGCTAGTCTAGGGATTAAAAGGAAATATTGATCTGTTGCATGGAAATGATCTGTCTTCCTTCAACCCTGACCTGTTCTCAAAACATAACCTTCCTGTAACATCTCATCCTCAGTTTCCTTCTCCTGAGTGGGATACAGTCACTCCTGAAGCAAAAAACCTCATAAATCAAATGCTAACCATCAACCCAGCAAAGAGAATCACAGCTCATGAAGCTCTTAAACATCCATGGGTCTGTGTAAGTGTCATTATTCTTTCAGTGATATCAGTATCTGCTGTTTAATTGCTCCTAAAAGAGTTTCCAGATGTCCTTCTTCTATTTCCCGTGGAGCTCCCAAATGCTACTATGCTATGTGTCATGAATATTTGCATCATCTTTATAACACATATTAAGGTATTCCTGAGTACTGTTTAGATATTTATGAGAAATAATAATAATAATAATAATAATAATAATAATAATAAACTTTATTTATACCCCACCACCCCCACCCCAAAGGGGACTCAGGCAAGGCAAAGCCCAACAGCGTAATGCAACAAAATAAAACCAAAATAACAAAACAAATATCATAATCAAATAAATAAAACACAAGAATGCAATAAAAATACAAAATAGTACAATGCAGAATGTAAAGTGGGAGACTAACAACAATGCCTTGTGCTATAGCAGGACTGGAGACTCTTATCACCATTAGGTCTTGAGTTTTAAGTTTAGCTAGCCTGGCCAGTGGTAGGTAATAATTCATCAACTTGGTGGTCTGCATTCATCTAACCTGGTCTGCAGAAATCCTAAATGAGTAGCCTTTTCTAACAGAGGCTTTATGTTAGTCTTGTTTGTTACTGTCCATATTTGGAATTGGCCTTCTAAGCTAAATAGATCTACATAAGCTGATCTTAAGTGATATTGTGGAGCAACACATATTAAGGTTTTCCCTGAGTAGTCTTTAGATATTTATGAGAAATAAGAATAATAATAATAACCATCATCATCTTTATTTATACCCCACCACCACCACTCCAAAGGGGACTCAGGGTGGCTTACATGAGGCCAAGCCCAACAGCGCAATACAACAAAATAAAACCGAATAAAATAACAAAACAAACATCACAATTAAATAAATAAAAACATAAGAATGCCATAAAACAATACAAAATAGTACAATGCAGAATCAATCTCAAAAGGGCAGGCCAGATGTGCAAGATAAAATGATAAAATTCAGGATGAGATAGGGATGAAAGAAAAATATTTGTATGGGAGAAGCTCATAAGAGACAGAGTAGTGGAGACAGGCCTTCAAACAGGCGGGGGGGGGGGGGATTGCGATATGGGGACAAAACATTATGGGAGGAGCAACAAAAGGAATTATCTGATCACTCTCCAAAAGCGCAATGGAAAAGCCAGGTTTTGAAATTATGTCCAGAGTATTTATTTATTTATTTATGACATTTATATGCTGCCTTTTTCAACATGAAGGTGACTCAGAACGGCTTTCTCTCTCTGTCTCTCTGTCTCTCTTTATATAAAATATTATTAGCATAGTACAATATCAGTATTATATATTACTATATTGCACTATTCCATTATATAGGACTGTGTGTAGGACGACGATTTAATTCTGGCAATTGTTCTAGTGTTTTACTGTTTTTGTGATGTTTTTATAATGTTTTATACTGTTTTTACCTAAGATATATATCTATGCTTTTATTGTCAGCCACCCTGAGGTCGAGATAGGACGAGATATAAATGTCTGAAATAAATAAATAAATAAATAAATAATATTATTAGTGATACTACATGCAAGATAAAAAATATAATTATAATATCATATTATTATTAGTATTATATTGCATTACATTATAATATTATAAATATTATATGTATATACAATATATTCCATTGCATTATTTTGTATTATATTATATTATGTTATGTTATGTTATGTTATATTATATTATTAGCATAGTACAGGAGACAAGGTGGAACTGTCCCCTGGGCCCCTCTCTCTTCACTCTGGCCCAGAATAAGCCTTAAAGTTCTCCACACCCACCCAACACATATGTAATTTTGCTGCATTTCTTCAACCTTCCTGGATTGGTTTTGGTATAAATTCGGGAAATTCTGACTTTGCTTTTTTGTTCTCTTTTTCAGCAACGTTCAACAGTGGCCTCCATGATGCACAGACAGGAGACAGTCGAGTGTCTGAAAAAGTTCAATGCCAGAAGGAAGCTCAAGGTATCAGTAGCCATTTTTAGCGACTGTGGGGAAAACACAAGGGTGTAAATACCTAGGCATTTCCAGCGTCAATTTCCTTTTCTTTTTAAAATATGTCTTTATTGAAGTCTTTGCATACAGATATTTAAAAACTAGGGGGGGAAATGGGGGTAAAAATCAGGGGTGGATATATATGGAAGGAGGAAGGGGATGGGGATGGGGGGTCTAATGGATGGGAGAGGTTGGGAAAGGAATGGCTAGGAAAGAAGCGGGTAGGGGAAAGAAACGAGACGGGAAGAAAAAAGAAGTAAGGGAGAAAAGGGAAAAAAGAAAAAGAAGAAGAAAAGAAGGGCAAAAAAGGAAAGTGAAAAAAGGGAGGGATAGTCTTGACTTCCACATTTCCTTTTCTAAGACTTGTAAGCAAAATGTATTTGTTTGTTTGTGGCTCTGTGTTTTTGTCACTCCATTCTTTTTCAAGTCAAGCAAATCAGTCTTACCGATCTTCCATCACTGAGTCATACTTTCCATGTTTTTATCTAGCGTCTCTTGTTTTCCTCTGTCAGTTACATTGTCATTACCAAAACAAGGACTGCCACAATAAATATCAATCAGAATTTCCCTGTGCTCTTTTCTAATTTACTTCTTCCCAGTCGGCTAATTTGAACTTGTTAAATTCCTTCTAGTCCCACAGTTTCATTCAGTCCCATTGCTACATCATCTCCTTTCCTTTTGCCTGCTCTTTAAACTCCTGGACCAATTCCCTTCCATCTGAATGTAGCCTTTTATGTTCCACTAAAGCTGTTTTTGGATTTCTGCATCTTTGAAAATGAAAATGTTCCCTTCCACCTTCCCTTGAGTAGATCATTATGTACCGCTTTGGTGGGAAGGTAATGGTGCTCCATTCAGTCATGCCGACCACATGACCTTGGAGGTGTCTACGGACAACGCCGGCTCTTTGGCTTAGAAATGGAGATGAGGACCGTCCCCCAGTCGGACATGACTAGACTTACTGTTGCACTCCAGAACAGGAATAACTCTCTGATTTTAAAACGCCACACATTGAGTAGAAAAACAATCCTTTTTATTGAATATAAGTAAAAGCAGCAAAGTGGAAAAACACTTTAAGGGAATAGGTAAGTCCAATTAGGTAAGAAGATAAGCAGGAACAAATTAGTCCAAGATATGGTTCAGAAGATAGTCCAAGATATGGTTCAAAAACAAAGTCCAGACTTCTCTAATAAAATAAAATAAAAACCCCAGGGAAATGTTGATCCAAGGCACACAAGAGACAAAGAGTCAAAGAGTCAAACCATACAGCAAGAAATCCTTAAACATGAATCTTCGAAGCAAGGCTTCCATGAGACAAGAGCAAGAACTTAGCAGGAATCTGAAACAATGCTTCATCTGACTATATTTCCCATGCGTGGAACTTTATATCCTCACATTAAACCATTCCAAGCACTTAGAAATTGGTTTCGTTTTCCCTGAATGCCTCTCATCCCTATCTGTCAATGCTTGGCAGAATGCCGAAGGCCTTGGTCGAGCTGTCTGTTTTGGCTAATTTCCACCCGCCTGTCATTAGTTCCTGCACGTGCCACATTGTTTTCAAGTCCCAAATTCTGGGAACTCTCTGGGAGCAATTCAGGGAGTAAACTATCAAAGTGTGGTTTCCCATGAGAAGGTTCCTACCCTATACCTTGTAGGAACATTCTCATGGGAAACTACACTTTCAACCGGCATCTCTGTGTCATTCTCTGCATTAATACCATTGCCATCTTGACCCTCATTGACATCATTCCTCACATCCAAAGCACCTTGATCTTGAAACACAATCACAGTCTGAACTCCAACACTTAATGTCAAGGGACAACCTTTACTTTTATATATAAATATAATACTGTTTTTATTTTCTCTTCTAGGGTGCAATTCTTACTACTATGTTGGCAACAAGAAACTTTTCAGGTGAGAGCTTTGCTTTGCTTAATTAAGAAAAAGAAGAAAAAAACATTCTCTAATTTCCATCCTTTTTTTAGTAGAAGAAAAAAACACACTCAGAAAACAAGAGGCAGTCTTTAAGCGAGGGGTTCACAAACACAACCACAGTCAAAGCTACTCCACTAATACAGATTGTATTAATTAGCCACAGAATACAGATTGTATTAGTCAGCCATCCTTGTTCATCTTATCCTGTTGTTCTCTGCCACGGGTAAAGTTATATACAAATGAATTTAGCCCTTCTCTGGGTATTGAACCAGTAAGAGAGAAGCTGAGGATGCCTTGGAATGCTCTTCTGCCGACATCTAGCTAGGCACCCCCTGCCTCTGTACACAAGCACTCCTCCTTTCCTCTTCCTTTCCCTCCCTTACATAAGTTTTGCCCTTTCAGACAAAGCAGTCGGATTCAACCTCTGATCTTCAGAAATAGTTGGTGATCAGATCTTTCTACCTACCAACCCAGTCCCTAGTATAACATATATACTCAAGTATAAGCTGAGTTTTTCAGCCCCTTTTTTAGGCTGAAGAAGCCCCTCTTGGCTTATAATTGAGTCAAAGTTATTTCTTATTTTGCTTTGTTGTTGTTGTTGTTGTTATTGTTACATTTATCATTTTACTCTATTATTATTGTTATTATTACATTTATATTCTTTTACTCTATTATTATAAATAATAAATCTTTCAGCCCCTTTTTTGGGCTGAAAAAGCCCCCCTCTGCTTATAATCAAGTCAAAGTTATTTCTTATTTTACTCTGTTATTGTTATTATTATTACATGTATTATTTTGCTCTGTTATTACTGTTATTATTACATTTATATTATTTTACTCTATTATTATATTTATTATTTTATTCTATTTATTATTATTATTACATTTATTTTTACTCATACTTGTTATTAGTATTCCATTTATTATTTTACTCTATTGTCACTGTTACTGTTACATTTCCATTATTATATTCTGTTATTATTATTATTATTATTATTACATATATTATTTTCCTCTCTTTAGTATTATTGGAAGGATACGTTTATTCTTTTACTCTATTATTATTATTATTATTATCATTATTACATGTATTCTTTTATTCTTTATTGTTCTTTATATGGATGGCCATCTGTCAGGAGTGATTTGAATGCAATATTCCTGCTTCTTGGCAGGGGGTTGGACTGAGGTCTCTTCCAACTCTTTGATTTGATTCTATGATTCTATGACATTTATTTTTACTTTATTATTGTTATTATTACTTTTATCATTTTACTCTATTATTACTATTATTATTATATTTCCATTATTTTCCTCTATTACTTTTAATTTTATTACATTTATTATTATTTACTCTATTATTATTGGAAGGATACATAAGCACATTTACATTGAAGAAGGTTAGAATAATGGTTTAACCAGAGTTGGAGAGTCTGATCTTAAATTCCAATTTTATGTAAATATTCCAAAACATTTAACCTACTGATTACTATTAATGTAATTTTATCAGTATCTATTTTTTATTTTGAAACAAGTAACTGCTGTAATTCCCACCCTCGACTTATACTCGGGTCAATACTTTTTCCAAGTTTTTTTTGTGGTAAAATTAGGTGCCTCGACTTATATTTGGGTCGGCTTATACTTGAGTATATATATATTATATTGTACTCAAGGCGCTATTGAGGAAGAAGAGCTATTCCTGATCCCATTTTCTGGATTACATGTATCATTCTCCCTCAAGCATACATTTCTCTAACTTGGTAGCAACTTAATTCTGAATATATCCAATAGAGTTTTGCTTAGTGTTAACCTTGCCACTACATCCACCTCTTTCTCTTCCTTCCTTTTGCCTAAATGATGCTTCTACTATTTGAGTACCTTCTCAGTTTAATTAGATCATCTTATTTTGAAAAATCTTGCCAAATTAAGGAATGTAATATTTTGTCGGATCAAGAACACACATGTTGGGTTTGGGTGTATTATGCCTTCTGGTTGGGTTGACCTTGGAATGCAGAAGGACAGTGTGTCTTCTCCACCACCCTCGGTGTTTCCTGTTCCATGCGCCATCATCATGGAGGCATTTAGTCTGCAAACGAATAAAGTCCTCTTATCATGGGGAAACAAGCGACTGCCTCGGACTAGAGAAGTGTCAGAAATGTTTTCAGTTTGATAGGTCAGGAAATGGTAAGATGGCTGAGTAGATTCCTCAAGTAAGAATCCACCCACTCACACTGTTTCTCTCTCCTCACTCTCCTACAGGACTTTCTTTTTCCATCATTATTCATGGGCCTCATCAAGGCGTCATGAATTTACAACGACACACAATCCATATCCTACATTCTGTAAGCAGGGAAAACAATTTTCCTGATACTGTATAAAATACATTGTGTCAACAGCAACAAAGTTGCATTCGCAATGCAGAATTCACTATACTTTTGGTGGGTGGGAATGAAGAATCACTTGGCAGAAATTGGGTTTCATCTGAGAAACAGTCAAATTGGAAAGGGATTCCTCGTAGGCGATTCCTCGTAGCTCGAGAATGATTGTCTTCCAGTTGTGGTGTCTTGGCGGTGGGTCCGTAGGTGGCTGTGGAGTCCTATTCTTGATCCGTATGTTCTCCCGCAGTGCGGACATCAGTTTCCAGACGGAAGATGGTCCAGGTCAGGGTTGGCTTGACATACCTTCCTCTTGGTACGTTTCTCTCTTTCGCTCTCCATTCGTGCCTCTTCGAATTCTGCAGCACTGCTGGTCACAGCTGGCCTCCAGTTAGAGCGCTCAAGGGCCAGGGTTTCCCAGTTCTCACTGTCTATGCCACAGTTTTTGAGGTTGGCTTTATTTCTTCCCTGATCTTGACAACTGCTGCAAAATAGGCAATGAATATTATGCACCTGTTTCTGAATCATTCCATAGCTGCCAAATTTTACAAACTTTTCTGCAGCCACAGAGTTACAGAGAAAACAACATTTATTTATTTATTTATTTATTTATTTATTTATTTATTTATTTATTTATGAAATTTATATGCTGCCCTTCTCACCCTGAGGGGGACTCAGAGCGACTTACAGCTCATATGTACATAAAACATACTATATTATTAGCATAGTAGTAATATATCATTCATAATATTAGTATTATATAATATTATATAATAGTATTATATTATATTCTGGTGACTAAGGACAGGAAAATATGGACAACGAATTCTGGATTATGATTTTAATTCGAGATATATGGGATTATTATTGGTGGCCCAATAATTTGTATTGTATGTGTATATGTTTTTAAATTGTAGATTGTTTTTTAATTGCTGTAAACCGCAATGAGTCGCCGATCCAGGCTGAGATATTAGCGGTATACAAGTGTATTAAATAAATAAATAAATAAATAAATAAATATTATATTGTTGCTGGGGGAGGGGCTCTGATGTTGCAAGAGACAAGATGGAACTGTCTTGTCGGCTCCCTTCTTTACTCTGGCCCCAGAGTGGCTGTTGTTTATTGTTATTATTGTTAATATCCCTAGTTATTGTCAAAGACTTTCATGGCTGGAATCACCGGATTGTTGTAGGTTTTTCGGGCTATATGGCTATGTTCTAGAAGCATTCTCTCCTGACGTTTCACCTGCATCTATGGAAAGCATCCTCAGAGGTTGTGAAGTGAGGATGCTTGCTATAGATGCAGGCGAAACGACAGGAGAGAATGCTTCTAGAACATGTCCATATAGCCTGAAAAACCTACAATAACCCAACATCCCTAGTTAATTCAGAGGACTCCAAACTTGGTGTTTGCTGAGTAATTTCTCAGTCAAAGACTTAACAGAATCATAGTTTTTTTTAAAAAAAAAAAAAGCAGAAGCAATACTAAATATTAATATATCATGTGACCATAGTTCTTAGTGCTCCAAATCACTTGGCAGAAATTGGATTTCATTTCAGAAACAATCAAATTGGAAAGGGAAGCATTAGGCGATCCCTCGTAGCTTGAGGATGATTGTTTTCCAGATGTGGTGTCTCTTGGGGAGACAAGTGGACAAACGTTAGCGTGCGGAAGAAGCAAAGACCACCAGCATTGAAGCAATGGTCCTCCGCCATCAACTCCGCTGGACCGGCCACATTGTCCGGATGCCCGACCACCGTCTCCCAAAGCAGTTGCTCTACTCTGAACTCAACAGAATGTTGGTGGACAGGAAAAGAGATTTAAAGATGAGCTCAAAGCCAACCTTAAAAACTCTGGCATAGACACTGAGAACTAGGAAACCCTGACCCTTGAGCGCTCCAGCTGGAAGTCAGCTGTGACCAGCAGTGCTGTAGAATGTGAAGAGGCATTAATGGAGGGTGAAAGAGAGAAACATGCCAAGAGGAAGGCGCATCAAGCCAACCCTGGCTAAGACCGCCTTCCACCTGGAAACCAATGCCCTCACTGCGGGAGAAGATGCAGATCTAGAATAGGGCTCCACAGTCACCTCCTGGAGGATTATCCTACTCGGACAACGAGGGATTGCCTAAGTAAGTAGTGCTCCAAAGAAGCTTTGAAGCTAACTTTTAAGATGGTGCATGGGCCACATGCTTCTTTCAATGCATGGTGTTTTCCAGCTCTTAAATCTCAGATCCAACAGGAACAATTACACCTCTTACCATTCCTTGTACATTTCACAGCATTGGGTTAATTCTCATGGCATGACTACCCTTCCGTGCCTTTCCTCGGGATATAAAAATATCCTCTAGGGTCTCCTTTTGAGCCTGTGACTAGGTTGCATTGTTTCCAGCCTGATATTGAACGGGTGAGTTGTCCAAAGCAGAGAAATCCGCTTTGATTGGATGCAAAAGAGCCACAGGTTGTGTCAACGTGAATGCACATTTGCTACCAATGGTCAGGTCTCTACATCTCAACTTTAACTCTAATCTTTTTTCTGCTTCCTTTGTCTCCTTTCTTTCCCTGTTTTTGCTTTCCCTCTGTCTTTCTCTTTCTCTCTGCTCTTCTCGAACTCTTCCCCGTCCTTCCCCCTGTTTTGCTGTCCTTTATTTCTGTTTCCCAACCTGGTGCTAACAGTGGGCAGACAGACCACCGCTCCTGCCACAATGTCTGCAGCAGCAGCAGCCTCCGGTGCCACCATGGGGTTGGTGGAGCAAGGTAGATGTGTCCCAAAGAGATCCTCCCCACTCACCCCTCCTCCTCACTTGGAAATGAGCGCATGTTGTGTCATTCACCACAAGCACTTCATTCCATCTTATTTGAGAGTTGAGGGATAGCAGCATTGAAAACCAGTCGCTAATACTAGTGTCAGTAGAACATCTGAAGTGTTTTGTCTGTCCGGGGTGACAATTCCTACTCACTGATATTTTCGAGTGATTGATGATAGTGGTCATACAAGAGCAGCTTTCACCTTTCTTGGAAAAGTTTTTTGTTTGGATATTATTGCGGCATGTTTTCCAAATACATTATATACTATCAAGTCTTATAAGTGACTATTGATGAAAAAAATAGGCAAATGACTAAACAGAGGAACAGCATTTAAGAAAAAAAATTGTGTTTCTTCCATGAGACCCAGAGCTTTGGCTATCATGTCTCCTCTCAGCCTTCTCTTCTTCAGGCTAAACATGCCCAACTCTTTAAGCCGCTCCTCACAGGGCTTGTTCTCCAGACTCCTGATCGTTTTAGTCGCCCTCCTCTGGACACATTCCAACTTGTCAATATCTCTATGATTCAAAGACTGAGCTGGGACTTCTGACAGGTGATGCCCAAAACATCAAATGATCAAGGGTCTGGAGAACAAGCCCTATGAGGAGCAGCTTACATATAATATTTTGTTTTTCACAAGCAAATAACCCCTCCCTCTGTAGAGAACCTAAAATAAATACCAGCCCCTTCTACTTTAGCAGCCTTTGGCAATGCCTGAGTGAGGAAACTGTGATGCTGTGAGCCAGAAATGGCTGGCCCCTTGAAGCAATGCTAGTGCTTTTGCCTCTCCGCAGAATGGGTCCAAGGAGCCCTATACTGAGCCCAAAGTTTTATCCTTTACGTATCCTTGGGTCATGCCGAAACCCAAAATTCTGATCCTGACTTATACATGGTGCCCCCGGTGGCGCAGTGGGTTAAACCCTGTGCCAGCAGGACTGAAGACCAACAGGTCGTAGGTTCGAATCCGGGGAGAGCATGGATGAGCTCCCTCTGTCAGCTCCAGTTCTCCATGCGGGGACATGAGAGATGCCTCCCACAAGGATGGTAAAGCATCCTTGAGGCTGTTTGTCCTGTTCCGAAGGTTGTGGCTGGATCTTCTTAAGCATCCTTGAGGCTGTTAAGAAGATCCAGCCAGAACCTTCGGAACAGGACAAATAAAATTACATGCTACCCTCTTAGTATACATGGGTGTAAACTCACATTAGGCTCTAAAAGCTTCTGAAATAACAGCAGCATGATGTCCAAATATAAGGGCTGTGTGCTACTTTTGGCATCAGATACCCCATGATTCCTTCAGTCTTTTTTTTTACTGGATTAATGAAAGGCTTGGTCTGAAATTTTAAGATCCAGCCAAGATGGTTTCCAGTTCAAACAAAACTGCCAGGTTTTATCTGGGTATCTGCATGGAGAACAAATGGTGGAAAACTAATAAATACTACATTCAAAATTATTACCAAAAAAAGGATGGTAAAGCATCAAAACATCTGGGCATCCCCTGAGCAACTTCCTTCTCTTACACCAGAAGCAACTTGCAGTTTCTTAAGTTATTGTCGAAGGCTTTCATGGCCGGAATCACTGGGTTGTTGTAGGTTTTTCCAGGCTATATGGCCATGTTCTAGAGGCATTCTCTCCTGATGTTTCGCCTGCATCTATGGCAAGCATCCTCAGAGGTAGTGAGGTCTCACTACCTCTGAGGATGCTTGCCATAGATGCAGGTGAAATGTCAGGAGAGAATGCCTCTAGAACATGGCCATATAGCCCAAAAAATCCTACAGCAACCCAGTTTCTCAGGTTGCTTCTGACACACAAACACACACACACACACACAAAATACATGAAGTCATTTTATGCATGCAAGTATATGGTACATTTGTACTCAAAAGATCCACCTGGCAGCTTTTGTCTGACTTGCTGAATGAAATCAGCTTTTCTGAAATGTCCAAATGCCATACCAGAAAGCACTGAACATGGCTTTTTACCTAACAGTTTGCCCTGGAAGTCTTTGTAGGAGGGCTGGGTTGCCTGAGATGACTTCATTTCCGATACTTTGGTTTGCTTTAATATAAATGATAGTAAAACTTCATTTCTAGACCATCCTCTCTCCCTGGAAGGACCTAGGGTAGTTTACACATAAAAAGGCAAACATTCAATGCCTCGAAATGGGTACAAACACATCAAAACAATACAGGATAATGGATAGTAACAGGAGAAAACTTACAACGAAGGAATTAAGCGTCAAAATAAAATAAAAACAGGAACAATGTATGAAGACATTAAAAATAAGTGAACATTTATGTGATGGTGGGCGAACTGAATGTCCACAACAAGGCTATCTCAGGGCAGAAGGAGTGAGATAGAGATGATGGAGATGAGATGGTAGAGAGAGAGGGATGGGATGAAATGGAGATGCTATCCCTGGAGCAGCTTTGTTCATAATCTGAACAGATTCGCTAATGGTTTTGCATCTTTAAATACTCACAGAATAGCTATTTTCATTTGTCATGGCCAGAATAGCTATGCTGGAGTTCTTTAATTGGCAGCAGTGAAGCACAGTTACTGGCATTTAGTTCCATTTGTCATGGCAACACTTTGGGTGCCGCTTCATTAACAAGCACAGGCACATTGCCTTTGATCCTTTCACAGGAATTTCAGAATGTTTTGTACTTTGCTACCTGGCTATTCACGCTGCTTGGAAGCATGCACATTCACAATGCAGTAAGAATATATATATAAACACACACAAATAACAAGGGCATCAAAAATGTCATTTGCTTTGCCACTGCTTGCTGTAGCGATTGGAGAAAATTAGGTTCTTTCCTACATAGAACTCCTGTTCATTAAATATCGCCTTAGGTGTTATTCTCTTATACATATGGTATATTCTCATCTTCCTGAACTCAGCCATAAATGCATGCACTCTGGGCATCTTGACAAATTCAGTCTCTCTTTGGCTTTCTCTGAACTTCTATTTATGCATCAGGTAGAACAGGAACGAGCAAAGTTGGCCTGTTGTTATTTTATTTCCCCCCCCCCCCTTCAAATGACCCCAGATACTCTCTAAGGCAGTAGTTCTCAACCTGTGGGTCCCCAGGTGTTTTGGCCTATAACTGCCAGAAATCCAAGCCAGTTTACCAGGTGTTAGGATTTCTATAAGTTGAAATATAAGCCCCACCCCCTCCCACCCAGCACCAACTGCTGCTCTGGGCCAGCATGAAGAGAGAGGGGGCCAGGGGACAGTTCCACCTTGTCTTCTGTGCTATTCTAATAATATAATACAACACAATACAATATAATAATATAATATGCTGTGTCTTGTGTCCTGTGAACCGCTGTGAGTTGCCTCCGGGCTGAGAACAGCGGTATAGAAGTAAAGTAAAGTAAATAAATAAATAATATACAATATAATATAATACAATATAATATAATACAATACAATAATATAATAGTATAATGTAAAATACCAGGACTGTGGTGCAGCTGGCTGGGATTCAGCTGCATTAAGATCACTACTGACCGAAAGGTCATGGGTTCAAAGCCAGCTGGGTTGGAGTGAGCTCCTGACCAAAATTGTGTAGCTTGTTGTCAACCTTTGCAGCCCGAAAGACACTTGCATCGGTCAAGTAGGAAAATAAGGTACCACTTTGTGGGGCGGCTAATTTAACTGATTTACGAGGCAATAAAAATCTCCAGGAAGTATGCAAAGAATGAGGAAGTGACAGCTCCCCTGGTGGCCGGAACCTGGAATGTTAAATAGCCTCTGAGTGTCTTATATATGTTGTGTGTCTATGGCATTGAATGTTTGCCATGTATATGTACATTGTAATCCACCCCGAGTCCCCTGCGGGGTGAGAAGGGCGGAATATAAATACTGTAAATAAATAAATAAATAAATAAATATTATAATTTAATGCAATATAATACTCCTAATTATATGATATTATAATTATATATTTATATTACATGTAATATCACTAATAATATTACAATATAATGGTATAGTACAATATAGTAATATTTAATACTGAATATTGTACTATGCTAATAATATAATATATTGTATGTATATATACTTTGTAAGTCATTCTGAGTCCCCTTCGGAGTGAGAAGGGTGGCATATAAATGTCGTAAATCTATATAAATAAAAATGTAATGTTCGTTTGTGGGATTAACATAACTCAAAAACAATTGGGCAAATTGACACCAAATTTGGCCACAAGACACCTACTAACCCAAGGAGTGACCATCACTCAAAAATTGATTTTGTCATTTGGGAGTTGTAGTTGCTGGGATTTATAGTTCACCTACAATCAAAGAGCATTCTGAAGTCCACTAATGATGGAATTCAATGAAACGTGGCACATAGGTTTCCCACGACCAACAGAAATCACTAAAAGGGTTTGGTGGGCATTGACCTTGTATTTGGGAGTTGTAGTTCACCTATATCCAGAGAGTGCTGTGGATTCAAACAATGATGGATCTGGACCATCATTGGCAGGAATACCCCATAAGCCCAAATATGAACACAGATGGAGTTTAGGGGAAATAAACCTTGACATTTGGGAGTTGTAGTTACTGGGATTTACAGTTCACCTACAAACAGAGAGCATTCTGAACCCCACGAACTGTTTACCCACAAGCATAGAGAAATTACATATATTGGAAACCAACACTTTCTCATTACTTTATTTTCTAGATCACCAGACAGGGCCACAGCAACGCGTGGCAGGGGATGGCTAGTAAATAAATAAATAAGTTGAAGGCCAAAACATCTGGGGGCCCACAGGTTGAGAACCACTGCTCTATGGCTTGTGAATAGGATATGATTTTGGAATCACTCTTCATTATTTAAAAAATACCTCTCCTGGACCTGAAATATGACAAAAAGCTTCCCAGAGGGTATTTGGGAACCACATTTTTGTGGTAGGAGCTGTGGCATCCTCCCCTTCCAAGGA